TTTCCGGGCCTCTCTTGGCGTCAGGCCCCTCAGCCGTCTTTCCTGGCTATGGCAAATGACTCGAGTAGATCTAGGTGGGAGAAGGTGTTCTGCCAGGTATCGAGGTTCTAAACTGTTTTAGGGCTTTATAAGTCATCAACACTTTGAAGTCAATGTGGAAACGAATGGACAGCCAATGCAAAACAGCCAGAATGGGAGAGATATGCTGGAATTTTCTCGCTCCATTAAGTAATCTGGCTGCCGCATTCTGCACCATTTGAAGCTTTTGCATCAATCTCAAAGGTAGCCTGACGTAGAGTACATTAAAATCCTAGGAGGATCACACAACATGGAATACTCAAAGACCTGGCTGCCGCATTCTGCACCATTTGAAGCTTTTGCATCAATCTCAAAGGTAGCCCCACGTAGAGTACAATAACATCCTGGGAGGATCACACAACAAAGAGAAGATGACACACTAGGATGCATCCATCCCCTACAGGAATTAACGGTCACATCTTGTGAATGCCGCCGGCTTTTGCCCAGTGGGGCTGGCGGGTGCCAAGTCTCCCATCAATAATTCCATGGACTCCAGGTTGTGAGAAAGATGAAGAACAGATTTTACTGTAACTGAGGAAACAACAGGAACACCATCCTTAACTCCTCCTGGGAGCTTCCTGGAGGGTTGAAGGTTCTTGTTTAAAGCCTCACAGGTGCCCTGAGAGTCCTGGTTTCTGAAAGTTGGGAGGAGAGAATGAGTCTTGGCCCTGGTTGGAGCCCTTTCAATAGTAGGTGGTAAAGCTGGGTGAGGGTTACCAATGCCTGCTTCCCTGCTCCTTCTGGAGCCTCATCTGCCTCTCACAACAGCAGTGGGGTCAAAAGTGGAAGCCATTGCTCCTGCTAGATGAGGCAGATGCCAGGGCCATGTCAGTGATGTGTCTGCAGCCCCTTCCTTTACCCAACAGGTGGGTCTTGGGGACCTCAGGCCAGGGCTCCTCTTCCTTGTTGCTCTCCACCTTAGCAGAAGCACAGAATTGGGGATCTCACTCCTCACATCTCCTCCTCCTTGATGTCTCAGTCTCATCCTCCATTTCCCGCCTCTTCCTTGTTGCTCTCCACCTTAGCAGAAGCACATAATTGGGGATCCCACTCCTCTCCTCACATCTCCTCCTCCTTGATGTCTCAGTCTCATCCTCCATTTCCCTGAAGGTAGCCTTTAAGCCCTCCAGGTCTTCCTATTTCACTGCAAGTAGTTAGAAGTTATCTTGCAAAGTGTGACCAAAATCAGACCTCAGGAAAAGCCTATCAAATCTATAATTCAATTACAGATGCTAAAGCAGAAGAAACTGAAAATGTCTCTCAAATACCACATCCAAAATGAATAAGCAAACAAAAACTATCCCTGCAGTGGTATTTTTTACACTGTATAAAGGCAAAAAGACCAGAACATTTTTTTTTGTCAGCAGCAATATTTGCCATTGCATTTTGGGGAGGTGGGAATGTTGGTGCCCCAAACCCTGTAATTTTTTTTTAAAGCCTTGTACTTTGCACAAAAATATTTGCTCTTGGTCAAAACACTTTTTTGAGTAAGAAATACTTCTCAAGATTGTCTGCAAAAAAAAGTTTCAAAAAAAACCATCAAAACAAACAAATCTTCATTTTTTTTCATTCTCCCATCAAAACAAACAAATCTTCATTTTTTTCATTCTCAAGGTGAGAATAAATATTTTCAGAAGATTTTGTTCCCCACTAGGCGAGATTACAAGAGTTTCTGTACCGTTATGTGTGATTTGCATCCCTGCTCTTAAGGGAAACATTATAACTTCATGTGGAATACAGAACAAAAAAAACACATCCACTTTAGGTTTTTGTTACGTAAACCCACGTTTTGTAAATCAATTGAATAAGAACATTTTCATTAGGTCTCTGGGACATCATTATACATAAACTCACCCAAAGTGTAGTATCTTATGCTGGGATGCAATGTTGCAATTGAGAAGTTCATGTCAGTATTGGCATCAACAATATTCTGGGCTCTTGAGGCATGCCAGAATGCCATAAACCTTGCAATGAATGAAGCTGCAAAAATAGCCAACATGCCAAAATCTAACATATTCCACAACTCGAACAGGTATTCCTTGGGACCCTGAGACCAGATTTCTTTACATTCAGACCATATCATCCCTAAGGTAAGTCAAAAGTCATGTCAGTATTGGCATCAACAATATTCTGGGCTCTTGAGGCATGCCAGAATGCCATAAACCTTGCAATGAATGAAGCTGCAAAAATAGCCAACATGCCAAAATCTAACATATTCCACAACTCGAACAGGTATTCCTTGGGACCCTGAGACCAGATTTCTTTACATTCAGACCATATCATCCCTAAGGTAAGTCAAAAGAAATCACACAGGACGTTAGCTCTCAACATCATTTCCTAATGTTAAATCTTTACATTCAGACCATATCATCCCTAAGGTAAGACAAATCACACAGGACGTTAGCTCTCAACATCATTTCCTTTCATAATGTTAAACAACAACAACAAAGAGGTTTGGCCTTTGAGCAAAGATCCCAAGTTATAGTCTGCAGAGTTTGCACTGTCATCATAAATTTCCCTGTGCAGCAGCATCAAATGAGGCAGCCATGGTTTTTACTATGTCCTTTCCTTCCTTGGTCCTTCTGTTGGCCTTCCTTTGATATAATACCCTTGTAGGAGAAGCCATAAGAAGCTTCTTTGCAGAGAAGAGAGAGCAGAAAAAGCTGGAGTCCTCACTCCCACCTCTGTTTAGTTGGAAGACTGGGACTTCCCTAAGATGACCAGATAGAAAAGGAAGACAAGAGTACAGTGGTGCCCCGCGTGACGACGATAATCCGTTCCAGGAAAATTGCTGTTAAGCAAAATCATCGTCATGCAAAAAGCCTTTCCCCACTGGAATGCATTGAAACCCAGTTTAATGCGTTCCAATGGGAAAATTACCTTGTTGTCCAGTGAATATCACCCATAGGGGAAGTCATTTTCTGAACGCTGATCAGTTGTTAAAATGGCTGCCCTACGAAGCATGGGTCTGGAAAAGACAGAGCAGCCATTTTGCGGAGCTGGAAAAATTGTTGTCTTGCGAACAAACGGTTCGCAACGCATGGACCTAATTGACATCCAGCGAAATTTTTTTTGCGGAGCTGGAAAAATTGTCATCTTGAGAACAAATGGTTCGCAACGCATGGACCTAATCGACGTCCAGCGAAATTTCCCCACAGGAAACATTATTTTGCGATCACTATAGCGATCACAAAAAAGTCATAGTCCTGTGGTTTCATCGTTTAGCGGGGTCATCATCATGCGGGGCACCACTGTATTCAAAGTTACTTACAGTGGCAGCTTGTGGACTGAGAAGAGAAGGGCACTTCACCTTGAAACAGTAGGGGGAAATCACCTCACCCTGCTTGGTCCGCATGCCAGAAAGGTGCAATCCATTTCCCACAATTTAGAAATTAATGTGCCTTCAAAGCAGAGGGTGGAGCAGTTAAAGTGAACTCAGTAGTTACTTGAGTAATGTGCATACAAAAGGAGAGAGAGATGGAAAGTATGGAAAACTGAACAGGGAGGTGAGCCATCAGGAACAAGTTCCTGTCTGTATCACTGCCATGCTTTCTTTACTCCAGTACTGTCAAGATTCCTTTTGGAACTAGTACTTAATTTAATGTGATTCCCTGTGTGGTGTAGTGGCTAAAGTGATGGACTAGGACTCTGGAGAACAGGGTTCAAATCTACACTTGGCCTTGAAAACTCACTGGGGGAGTGGAATTGGTAAAACCACTCTTCAAATATCTCACTTCCTTTGAAAGATCTGTTCGGGTTGCTATACGTTTGTTGCAACTTAACAGCACAGAACACACACACACACTTAATTTAATATCTTCTCCTGCAATGAGGTATATAAAGACAGTGCAAGACCTCGGGGTGGGTACCTGGAAACCTCTACTGTAAGTTTCAGTTGGTATTTCTGTTGAATGAATGTGAGGTATAACAAAGTCATTATCTTGCAACTTCTTTCATTTACATTTTGTACTTCTGGGGCTATGCGTTCATTTTTAATGACTTGAGCAGTTCCTGTTTCATTTATTTTTGTTACATGTTATATTAGCTTTTAAAACAACACACTTAATTAATTGGGAACGTCTTTTATTAAGTCAGCTTCCTCTCGTGTTGCATATTAGTACCCTCCAGAGCTCACCAACAATATTTTAATATGCTAAATAGCGTCATATCATTATCATGCCTGTACCAGATGTTCTTTTGGAAAATCAACGTGAAAAAACATCTAACTCTTAAATACTGTAGGTTGAAAGAAACAAAATTGCCATCATTTGAGATGTGTTGTTAATTCTACAGATTAGGAATTATCTGTTTTGGGTGATTTTAGAGTCAACTCTTTTGACTCCTTTCTGATTTACCAAAGGGTAAGGGGGTGATATATATTCCCCTTTATAAAGATATCAAGAGTAATACATTTACATATTAAAACATGAACATTTTTCCTACACTTCTGAAATGCAAATTGCAAATGAATTAAGAACAGGATGTCACTTGCAAGCATCCGGATGTTTTCAGATGTGACTATCAAAAATGCTATCTAGGGTAAATTGTGTATCCTATGTTCAAGTTAATGGGGGTGGGTTTTGGCATCAGGTTTAATTGCTACTGGCCTAGCAGATACAACTGCAAGCAGATAGAAACATGAAATATTGCATGTACAAGCAACAAATAATCTGATGTTTTCAGAGTATTTGAAAGAAATACTTTCAGTGCTCCTGGTTTGATAATTTAATATTTCATGGGACGGGAGAAGGAAATAGCACAAAAACAAAAAGGGAAAAATTGTATGCTATGGCCAAAATCCTCTAGTGTAAATTATGTCCAAGGAGGGAAAATGGGTGCTGGATGACACTGCTTCGTTGACATCATGTGTCCTACCCTGCTGTAAGTTTTGTAAATGGATTCCATTCACAGACACTTTGCAGATCCAGGCTTTATATGAGATAACAATGAAATGAATGTGAAATTCAGAAAACCCTGCACCTTCTATATCATACTTTTTCACTATAAAAGAAGTATGTCTAACACATCAGGAAAAACAAAAGAAAAACTAAAAATAAAGAAGACAAAAATATTGTGGCATCTTGAAGACTAACTGCTATATTTTAAAATGAACTTTTGTGGACAAATCCACTTCCTCAGACATAATAGTTGGACTACATGGCAAATATTCATGCATTTAAACATGGCACCAAAACAGAGAGACTTGGTTTCCTGGGCACAATTTGTTGACTACAGTCTCTTTCGAGACATGTATAAATGCATAAATATTTGCCATGTAGTCCCACTCTTATGTCTGAGGAAGACGATTTGTCCATGAAAGCTCTCCTTAAAATATAGCAAAGGTGCCACAATGTTTTTGTCTTTATTTTTTATTTCTATTTATCCCCACAGACTAACATGGCCACCTCTTTTCAAACAATGTGTAATACAGATGCTGTCCTCAGCTATGACTGCAAAACAGAATTTGGAGGAACTTTTTTTTACCTATTACCCAGGAAATAATAAGTAGTTCCATCCAAGAGAAGCTTGATGTTTTCATCCTGAACAGCTGCTTTGCACCATCTGTTTTGGTTTCATTAGGCTTCAGCTTGGTGCCATCAAATCGGTCGGCTGCATTCATGACCAGAAGTCCAAGAAAAATGGTGAAAGAGGCTGCATGTGCTACAAATTTCATAAAAGGTCCACGCATTATTCTACCCAACTGCAGAAGCAGGTGAAAGAAGACCATGAGAGAGACAGAGAGAGAGAGAGAGAGAGAGAGAGAGAGAGAATCTATTATGTCACTTTCTTACTAGGCACATTTCTTCGAAAGAGACAGATAGCTTTAAAAAACCCAGTCAAATATAGAGAACAATCATATGACACAGAAGCAGAGCAATGGCTATTTATTTATTTCATCAAAATATTTCTACCTTTTCACCCTCTATATGCAAAGCTTCCTCAAAGCAATAGAGCAAGAATTCAAAAGACAAAATTCTTAATACCAAGTTAAAATGAAATGTTAATCACAGTTAATTAAAATATCCACCTCTGTATGCATACATGTCTGTGCATCTATCCATCAATCAATGATTTGATAAAAGAGTATAAAATATGGGTCTGCATGTGACTGAACACAAGTGATAAAAACCTGGTGTTTAGAAACAGTGAGAGAGGAAGTGACAGTTACATTCCAGTAAAGGCACTATCTAAAATGGAGGCACCACAGAAAAGAACCTCTGAATCTAGTAATACTAGAGTACACCTCTCCTTCTACAGCTTGGGCCGTGATCACAACAGACAAATTAATCTCGTCTCCATCAGAATGTACATAGAACGAGATGTACAAGGTAGGCATTTAATGGACATTCTCAGGGGAAAAGCTGTCAAGATTCTCCACAAATTTAAGCCACTTGCCATGGTACTTTGTTTAACAGAAGGCCGAAATAGTCCCAGCAAAGCTTCTAATCTGTGCCACTGAGGTACTTTTGGCTCAACCAATGCAATGTATTGGGACAACAAGCATAGACTACCTTATGCCTTATTCTCTCTCTCTCTCTCTCTTTCTTTGGCAGCCATAATGACGTAAACAGAAGAGATGTATTCTGGCTATCAATAGATTGGTCCCATGAGTTTTTGGTGAAATGCAAGATTTGTAAATATAGCGGAAGCGCTATATCTTTCTTTCTTTCTTTCTTATTTATTTATTTTATTAGATTTCTACCCCACCCATCTAGACCAAAGGTCTACTCTGGGCAGCATTACAAATTCAAACCATCATCCCAATCCTATTGCTAATTTGTACTACATGAGAATCCTCTGACATTAATAAAAACATCCCAGAACCCCTTCAGTGCAATTTTTTTTTCATGTGGATGATGATGAAAAAGTAAATGACAAAAAAGTGAGAACTTGACTTAATGCTAGAATCCACGTGGGCTGTATCTAACTATTATGTTAGATACAGATCAACCGAGGATGCAATCAATACTGTGCTTTATATGGCTTTATCCCACTTGGAAACACAAGGGAATTATGTAAGAATGTTGTTCGCGGACTTTAGCTCTGCTTTTAACACCATTATACCCCACAGATTAATAGACAAACTTAAAGATCTTGATTTTCCAGATTCTATCTGTCTGTGGATTTTGGATTTTTTAACAAATCGTCCACAAAGGGTTAAACTGAATGACTACATCTCTACTGACAAGATACTCAGCACTGGCACTCCACAAGGCTGTGTCCTTAGTCCACTACTGTTCTCCATTTATTCATCGGATTGCACCAATAACCATCCCAGTAATAGGATTATCAAATTTGCAGACGATACTACACTAGTAGGACTTATCTCTGGGGATGATGAGTCTGCGTATCGGGACGAGGTATTACAGCTATCCCGCTGGTGCAAAAAAAACAATCTTTTATTTAACATCCAAAAAACCAAGGAATTCATAGTGGACTATAGGAAAAAAAGAGCAGACATTCAGCCACTGTATATAGATGGAGTTTGTGTGGAACAGGTGGTTGAATGTAAGTTTCTTGGGACTATCATAACAAATGACCTGACTTGGAGTGCAAACACCGCTGCGTTAATCAGGAAGGCACAACAACGGTTGTATTTTCTAAGGATTCTTAGAAAGCAACAATTGACTGAGAGTTTGTTAATCACCTTCTATAGGAGTTCGATTGAGAGCATATTATCCTACTGTCTCTGTGTATGGTTCACGAGCTGCACAGTGGCAGAGAAAAAGGCAATTCAAAGGGTGATTAAGACGGCCCAAAACATCATTGGCTGTTCACTCCCCTCTTTGGAAGAATTGTATAAGAACAGATGTAAGAGGAAGATATCTAACATACTGAAAGACTCCTCTCATCCGGGATATCAGCTCTTTAAACTATTACCATCAGGAAGGAGATTCAGGGTATTGAAAGCAAGGACAAGCAGATTCAAGAACAGTTTTTACCCAAGTGCAGTATTGAGTTTAAATGCGGGGCCATAGGTTTTTGGTGGAATTTTAATTGCTGAGAGAAAACGGGGTATCTATATTTGGATGGTGAAAGTTGTGTATATTTTAACTTTTTTTTGTAGTGTTGTCCAGTTTTACCTTGGGGAAGAGCACCACATTTCATTGCACCCACTTGTGAGCGCAATGACAAATAAATTTCTTATGTCTTATGTCTTACAGTATGTCTTAAAGTGTGGGGGAGGACTTTTGTGCACATACATACACAAGGACTGAGCCTTCATGTAAGGCAGTGGTCCCCAACACGTATACACACACACATACGTACGTACGTACACACACACACACACACACACACACACACACACACACACACACACACACACACACACAACACACAATTTA